AAAAAAAAAAAAAAAAAAAAAAAAAAAAAAAGAACTTTTTAAGCACTCTTCCATTCAGAACCACTAAACTTTTTTGGCGCCAGAACAGCACAGGAAGGTTGTGACCTGCTGGTCGGCTAATTACCAAAGTAAGCAAAAAAACGACCGCCTCCCGGCCTAGAAAACTTAGACCTTGCCAAACCTACTATCAAATAGAAAACGATTTTGTTTCCGGAATTCCTTCGGTGAAAAAATAAGTGTTCGCAATGTTCTCAGAATACACTGCAATTAAAGTCACAATACCTCTCCTCTTCAGTCCAGATGCTGATAAGTTTCTCTGGAAAAGCAAATCATAACTAACAAACTGCGCAGAAATTCACGCTGACTGAGATGTGGAAAATCAAAAAAGCATCAGTTTTTTGAATTCTGACCACCACAAAGAGCTGTCACAATAACATGACGATTTTCTAAGCGTCCTAAAACGTACAATACGAGAAAAAAACAATTTTTATTCATCAGAGGCAACTCATCATAAAACTAGAACAAATATAACATACATCCTTAAAAACCACTGCTGTTGTCAATTTCACTCCCGCTCAGAACTATAGCAATTTAAAAGTCACACCTAAAAAGGAAAAAACTTGCTTCAAAGACGACGGCATCAAAAAGAGCACGCGGTGCAAAAGCAATTAAATGAAAAACAAACTCCATCCCAGCATAAGTGAAAAGAAAGACTTGCCCCAGTTTCGCGCGTAGAACACCGTGTGATGAAATTATGACACGGTGCTCATTACCCTCCAAGTAACTAACTGTACTGATAAAGCAAAAAATCAAATTAACTACAAGTAACGTTTTAAATGTGCTTAAGAAAAAACTTTTATCTTGGTTCTATAACTCAAATTCCTTTGAAAAGGAAGGGTAAGGTAAAGAAAAATTACATCCTACAGCAAAATCCAAAAATCAAATATGTAGTTCTATAAAACTATGGTAAAACCCACAAAAAGGGCCAAAAAAACTAAAATTTGCAGGACACAACACGAAATATACCTCCGCATACTCCAATAGAAATTGTAAACCGCTCGTGCATCGGCCGAAAAGTACAATCGCTCCACAACTGCGTGATTCTCATCTTGCCTTCCTCGGAAATAATAATTATATAATAGAACTGGTTGACTAACAGATGACCCAGCATTCCATAACTGCGTTGAGCTCCCTACCTTCTTCTTCACATTTACAAAACGCGGTTTCAAAAACACACAAAAAAAAAAGAAAAAAAAAAGGAAAAAAAAGAAGGCGAAGACTGCAAGACCTGCCCAGCAAATGAGACCTGGCTAAAATGATTATAACTTTTGCTACCAACAAATTCAACAGTTGCAACTACTCAGTACATACACAAACCCCCCTAACTTAGCTAATTAACATAACGTGTAAAAACACTTTAAGACTTATTTTGATCAAATATTTTATTCTCGAAATAAAAAATCCACAAAATAAAACATTTCCAAAAAAAATTTAAAAAAAATTTTTTAAACAAGAAAATCAAAAAAAAAAAAAAAAATAAAAATAAAAATAAAACTAGTATATAGGGTCTCATTAGAAACATAACATAAATATTTTATTAATTACCTAAAAAATACGTTGGAAATTCTTTTTAAAGTTGGTAACATCTGAAAAACACTCGTGATAGACCCCGAAAAAAAGCGAACTTAAGCATTTGATGCACAATGCCTGAACATATCTTGAGATTTTTCAGGAAGAGAAATTTACAACTTCAACTTTCACGAAAAAAGAATGTGGAAAAAAAATGAGAAAGCAAAGCTTCATTTCTTCTCGGCAAAACTCCTCAACAGCCATCCTTGCTTTCTGTGATACAGATCTAAAGTGAAGTAAAAACGAAATTTCCTTTTCATACCGGGCGTGTTAGGAAAAACTGACAAACGTAGGACAAAACGAAAAATCAAGAAAAAAAAGCATAAAATATATAATTTAAAAGCTAAAAAATCAAAATAACGTAAAAATGACGCAGTTTCCAGAATACAAATAACAATAAAACCAAGGTATAATAAAAGCGAGCGTTTCCACAAAAATTCAATTACTATAAAAGACGAAGCTCAACGGTGGATGGAAACCGATATTTTACTTTTCCTGAACACAACGGGTTTAAAGCGTGAATATTTGTGAAAAATCTGTTCCTAAAACTTCTCAAAAAGCTTATCGACCGTGATGAACAACGAAAAAACTTACAAGTTGGACAACATGAAGCAATCATAAAAAAATTACAAAGAAACTTTTAAGCATGAACTTAAAGTAAAAGTTTCCAGATAATATCAGGATATTTTTTAATCCTTGACCAAAAGATTCTTTATGAACGTATTGCTAATAAGCTTAAAAAAACAAAAAAGAAAACTGTTTCCAATGCCTTTCATCAAGATCTGTTAAAATAAAATGCCAAAATATTAATACATTTGAACAAACGACACGAAATACAGAAAAAATCTTTTCTTTAATTTCTCCGGCGAAGAAACTGTAACTAATTTTTAATAAACTAAGATAATATACACTCTTGACAACACACACGATCAGAATAAATGTCATCGAGTCTACAATATAAAATCTGCATCTTCATTTACCTCCTTCGCCGAAAAGAAAGCCCATAAAACAAAAACAAAGAGGAACAAAAATAAAGATTTAAAAATCAAAAAGAAACAAAAATGTTCCCTTCCCTAAGCACATCAACCGGAAATAAAAATACCCAAATAAGTGTCCAAAACAACGTCCACAGTGCGAAGTACCGTTTTTGAACTCCAACCACATATGAAACCTCGTCACTTATAAGTATCTAATGTCCCAAAATAGTTCATACCAGGTTGTATTCTTTAAGATTATGCTGCAAAATCGTATCCTTTACGGCAGCGAATACAAACCTGATGTTTTCCGTATCTGAAAATAAAAGTAGAAGTAACTTAAAACCAGAAGAAAAACGGAAAGATCCTCAAATTCAATCAAAGTGCCCAGACCTGTCGCACAAGTAAAATGCGAATATATAATTTTATCTGCATCTGGATTCAAATCGACAAACATTTTCAAAATGAACTCTCGAGCGGCAATAGCGTCACATGGAGGGCCTACAAATATTGCTCAAAAAAAATTAAAAAATTACATTCACCAAGAGACCGTTTTATGAATAAAGTAAAACTACCATGCCTACATATGCTTTTTTCCTTACCTACGATAACAACAAAAAGCTAACAAACCACTGACCATCATATTCTGGGAAGTAATCAGCTAAATGTGAATACATAATTTTCTCTTCCAATAAGTCTCTTTTGTTCAAAAACAAGATCACTGAAGAATTGGTAAACCACGGGTAAGTGATAATAGTACGGAAAAGAGCCTTAGACTCTTCCATGCGGTTCTGAAAAGCGTAAAAAAGGTGAATTTTTTCACAAGTGCAAAAAGGATAACAGGTTTTCAACTCCTCAATACAAGTACAGTGACAAAGGCAAAAAATTAAATTACTGGTCGCCTAAAAAACGATACCTCATTATCGCATTCCACTAAAACTTGATCGTACTCTGATAAAGCAACCAGGAACATAATCGATGTAACATTCTCAAAACAGTGAATCCACTTCCTCCTTTCGGATCTTTGACCACCAACATCAACCATCCTTGAACGTTATTTTGTATAATTTCAAGTAGCTTTAACTAATCCACTATTTAATAAACCACTTATCACTCTTCAAACCGCATGAAAATTTGTACTCACCTGAAGATTATCTGCTCCAAGTCGAAGGGATATTCAATGATACCCGTTGTGGGTACCCTAACACGTAAAATATCCTGTTCTGTCGGTAAGTAATTTGGCGCAGCCAGACGTTGCAAATCAGATAAATAACTGAATAAAACATTTTTTTAAAATTCTGACGATGCCTACTTTTTATTAGCTAGTTGAAAAATAAACTTCGCTCCAAATGAGTGAACACTCAGGTTAATAAAAAAAAATCTGAACAATTAAAGAACCTTTCCATCAGTACTCCGTATATCGTAAAAATGGAAACTAACTATTTTGCTGAATCAGTTAACTGGTACTCCCGTCTACGGTCGTAGCATTCTTGGATGCCACTATCTCCCCATAAGTCTTGAATATAGCTGACATAAGGTTCTTCAAAAGATGTTACGTTTTCATAATCAATTGCGCGAACAACGTTCGCTTTTTCTTGTAACTGAAAAAAATAATTTTTCACGCTAAGGTAAACGATGTAGTGATAAAAAATTACAAAT